GATCTGAATTTGGAGTTATCTGTGCTTATGGACCCTCTTTCAGAGTCTTTGGCACTGTGCTCCTTTCTATACTTATTAGTGAAGGTAGTATTTTAAGTGGCCATCACCTCTGCCAAGAGGGTTGGTGAACCGAGTGCATTGGTCACTGATCCACCTTACATGTTCTTCACAAAGACAAAGTCTAGCTTAGGCTCCTTGGAAGTTCCTCTCCACGGTGGTCTCTGACTGCCACCTAACCCAATCTGTCTGCTAGTTTTCTTTCCAAAGTTGCATGTGAACTGGTATGAGAGAAAACTCCACACCCTCAGTGTTTGGCACATGTTGGCTTTTTACTTGGATAGGATAAAGCCCTTGCAGGTTTCTTCCTAGCTGTTCTTGTCATATGCAGAATGAGTGAAGCATCATCCAGTCACAACACAGGCTCTTCATCGTAATGGCTTATGCTGCTAAAGGAGTAATATCTCCTTATAGACTCATAGCAAACTTGCTCAGAGCATATTCAATCTCAACAGCATTTCTGGCACACATATGTAGAGCAGCAACACGGTCTTCAGTTCATACTTTCACTAGACAATATGCACTCTGCAACTTGAGGGAAGATGCAGATCTAGGCAAGGCAGTCCTATAGTCCCTCTTTCTATAAGGCTCTGAGCCCCTCCTCCTGTGTTAACAGCTTGGGCATTCTCTATATCATAATGCAAGCACTTGAGGAAAAAATGGTTACTTACCATCCTGTAACGGTTGTTCTTCGCGATGTGTTTCATATATCAATTACGTGACCCACCATCCTTCCCTGATGTGTCAGAGTCTATCATTGGGTTCCAGTGCAAAGGAACTGAAGAAGGGGTGGGGTGACTCTGCTCTTTATATCCTTAGTTGGCTCACGAAGATCTTGGCCATGGGTGGGGCTGCCGACTCCAGCACCAGTGCACAAGGTGTGCACACATCTACAGTATAATGGACATATGCAACATATCTCAAAGAAAAGCAGTTACAAGAAGGTATGTAACTGTTTTTTCCCACTTGCCCTCCAAAGGCCATCATCTGTTTGGGGAGATGGTGGATAAACCCTACAAGATGAGTGGAGCAAAATGCCTCATTTGCAGAGCTTAGAAAGACGTATTCATTGTCTTGGGAAATGTGCAGCAACTTTCACTGAAATTCAGATTCAGACCTATCTTTCTGAGATTTTCTCCAGCCAGCTCTCAGGAGAGTTAGTCCAAGGATGAGCCTTCCAAGGATTTAAAAAGAAAAAACCTAAGATGTCAGTTTCTTTCCCCTAGGTGGGGAGGGAACGCTTGTGTGTGTACCTGGTCAATTGTGGAAGCTAGTTTGGAGGGTGTGTTACATGCCATTCTGATAGCAGTGAGTTTTTGTGATCATTCTGATGTGTTCCAGGAATTCCTCATTCCTGGGCTAGCTACAAAGAAAGCTTTGTTTTTAGGGCTCACTAATCTCATTCATGACAACTCCATTGTTCCAGTGGAAAGCAGGTGTGAAGAGTGAGGCTGTGTCTCTTGTAGTCTAGGCTGTTTGCATGAAGAAAACTAACAATCAAAGCTTTGAACTTCACTTAGTGTTTAAGATGAAACTTTGTAAGGAATGAAGCACTAGGGTTGATTGGCTTTTGGTGGCATGTGGTGCTAATTAGGTTAGTAGCTACATTTTTAATTAACTGAAGACTTTTGGGGCCAGCAATTTCATTCCCTAAGTATATTATTTTAAAATAATCAAATCTATAGATCATGAATGTGTAGATTAGTGTGGCCAGCCCAAGTCTTTCAGGATAGAATGAAGTTTCATAGCCATATATCGGGGGTGGTCAAACTGCGGCTCTTTTACAGTTGAAGTGTGGCTTGCGGAGCCCCTCAAACTCTCCCATTCTCTGCCTACCAGACTGGGGTGGGGGGGAGCTCAGGGCTTCTGCCCTGCGGTGGTGTGGTGGGGCTAGGGGCTTCTTCCCAGCAGGGCGGTGGGTCTCAGGCTTCAACCCCACTGGGCGCACCTGCTGGGGCTCCGGGTTTCAGCAGGAGTGGGGCTGAAACTCCGAGCCCAGATAGGCACCTTCTGCAAGGCTGAAGCCCTGAGACCCTCCTCCCCACAGGGCACAAGCCCTTAGCCCCAACACCCCACTGCGGGGCTGAAGCCCTGAGCCCCGGCAGACATGCCCTGGCTCTTGAACTTCTGAAGATTGTCGTATGCGGCTCGGAGGGTCAATAAGTTTGGCCACACCTGCCATATATCGTCCTTTTTACAACCACAGTTGTTGGTGTCAAGTCTAGGAGGACAATCTGAGAATAGAAATGTGAATGACAGTCATTGTTACTGTAGCAGCAAGTTCTTCAAAGCACTTCTCTCTCTCTCAACATCACTGCCATCTGAGCTATAGTTTCAACCTTCTGCCTTTCATCCACATGCTGATGTCCCCCAGAAAATGTTCTCACACCAAAATCTTGAACATTCTCTTCTTAACTAAGTTTCAGTGCTTAATCCTCACCCTGTTTGACCTTTCTGCAGACATCTCCTCCTCCTTGATATCCTTTCTTATTTTCTGTGACTGTCCTCTTTTCATTCTCCTACCACTGGCTTTTCTTTTTTTAGTGTGTCATTTGGTGTCTTTCTCCTCCTCTTCCTAGAAAAATTGTTTTTGTCCCCCTACTCTTCTCACTCTACATTTTATCCCTGGGTATCCTCTCTTCTCCATTTGCATAAGTTTAACTATCACTTCTAAAATGACAATTTTTATATACTTCTCCATCCAGACTAGTCTCCTGCGGGTCAGTCTTGCATATCTCACTCTCTCAGATATCTCACCCTGTATGGATCACTGTCATCTGAAATTTGACATAGCTAAAACTGAGCTCATAATCTTTCCTCACAAACTCTTTCCCACTGCCATTATGGTTGATAGCACCCCTCCATCCCCCTAGGCCTGTAACCTGGGGATCATTTTCAATTCTACCTTATTTCTCCTATACCCAGGCTGTGACTCAATCTTGTCACTTTTCATAACAATGTTGCAAAAATGTCCACCATTTTCTTTCCATTCTAAGACAGAAAATATCATATTGCCTCTATATAAATCCATGGTATGCCCACATCTTGAATACTGGATGCAGATGTGGTCACCCCATCTCAAAAAAGATGTATTGGAATTGGAAAAGGTTCAGAAAAGGGCAACAAAAATTATTAGGGGTATGGAACCGCTGCTGTATGAGGAGAGATTAATACAACTGGGACTTTTCAGTTTGGAAAAGAGATGACTAACGGGAGATATGGTAGAAGTCTATAAAATCATGACTGGTATGGAGAAAGTATATAAGGACGTGTTATTTACTCCTTCGTATAACACAAGAACCGGGGATCACCAAATGAAATGAATAGGCAACAGATTTAAAACAAACAAAAGGAAGTATTTTGTTCACACAACGCACAGTCAACCTGTGGAACTCCTTTCCAGAGGATGTTCTGAAGGCCAAGCCTATAACAGGGTTCAAAAAAAACACTAGATAAATTCATGGAGGATAGGTCCATCAATGGCTATTAGCCAGGATGGGCAGGGATGGTGTCCCTAGTATCTGTTTGCCAGGAGCTGGGAATAGGCGACAGGGGATGGATCACTTGATGATTCCCTGTCTTGTTCATTCCCTTTGGGGCACCTGGCATTGGCCACTGGCAGAAGATAGGATACTGGGCTAGATGGACCTTTGGTCTGACCCACTATGGCTGTTCTTATGTTCTGAATCTGATGACCGAATTGCTTGTCCATGCTCTAATAATAGCTGATATTGACTATTGTAACCTCCTCCTCTCCAATCTTGTAGATACTTACCTTGCTCCCTGCTGTCCATTCAAAATGCTGTCACCAAAATCATTTCCCCTCACCTTTTGGTTTTGACTTCATTTTCACTCCAAAAGATCTTTTCACTGGTTTCCTTGTTGCCCAGCATATCATCTTGAAATTCCCTATCCTTGGATTCAAGACCCTATGCTTCTGGCCCAAGTCTGCATCAGTGACCATGTTTTCGTTATGCATTACCGCATTCTCTCCACTCCAATATTGTTGATAGCTTTGATGTTTCCTTTGTACCCTTCTTCCATTTCCATCGCCATGCTGCCCCTTTCCAAATTTATTCCATTTTCAAGTTACCTCCTTGACCTCATTTATACCTCATTCCATCTCTCCTAAAAACTCACTTCTGTCATCTCTTATATGAAGAATGAAGGGGAGGAAAAGGTAAACTAAAGAAACGAATAAAACCAGAAAGGAAAAACTTAAGTCAACAGAACCACTAGGAGGAATATGTGCCTTGCAGAATAATTATATGCTCTTTTTTGTTTGTTCGTTCGTCATTTTCCCCATCTCCTTCTCCCCACCTTTTTTGGTCTGTTTATGACCCTCACTATTTGTCATGTCTAATTTAGATTGTAAACTCTTTGGTACAGGGACAATTTCTTTGTTGTCAAGGCCCCTAGTATATTTTTGGGTGCTCAAAAATAAACTCAGAACTCAACTTTATATCTGGGTACTGGCTGTATTTTAACACTGTGCAAATGGGATTGACTCATATAATGGAGAGGGAAAAGACTGTCATCCAGTCCATCTCCCTGCTATTGCAGGATTGTTCCTTTCAGTACTTTAAGTATTTTAGCCAATTTAGTTTTAAAGTCCCAAGCAGTGGGACTTTCACCACATTCTTTGGTAGGCTCCCATTTTTTAGGTTTGAAAATCCTTTGTATACTGTGTATACTTTAGGTTGTCGAACTTGCATACAGATGTCAAGATCAGACGGTATCTGAATAGGGACACATTTAATAGAAATACATTATTTTAACTTGTTTAATGTAAATAATTTTTATAAGTATGAAATTGTTAGCAAATTATATTGATGTTTAGGAACTTCATCCTTATTGGGGACTCAGATTTACTGTGTGTGGTTTTTCAGATAATAGTAAAATAACACTTTTTAAGATTCTCTTATTGCTTTTCCCCCCTGAAGTCTTCCATCCTGTGGAATGTTCATATTGTCGGTGTGAGAGCATGATGGGTTTCCGGTACCGATGCCAGCAGTGCCACAACTACCAGCTCTGTCAAAACTGTTTTTGGCGTGGCCATGCAAATGGCCCTCATAGCAACCAACATCAGATGAAGGAGCATTCCTCTTGGGTAATTCAGCTTTGTTTGTATTAATGCACTGATCATCTCTATGCAAATTTCTTTTGAAAGCTAAAGATGTTTTTGTAATAGGCTTAGAATCACAGGTTAAATCTTAAAGGTTTTTAAATAGGAGCTTATAAATAGGCACATTATACTTTTCTGTGAGTTGTACGTAATTTTATTTAATTATTTGACATTATCATTTTGCTCAGTGCTGACGATACAGTTCCTGCTCTCAAGTGCCTTGCAATCTGAGACATATAAAACAAAGCACTTGTTGTCTTCTTCTTTTCCCCAACACCATACCTTCCTACATCCCTCTTTTTACCAGCCTAATAACCCACCGTAATTTTGATGTCATCACAAAGCAAGAAAACACTATGCACACAAGGTGCTCTTTTTGGCAAAGTGGTGTTCTTGAACAATAATATCTCTTCAAAATAAATAAATGTTTGTTTTCATTGTGCATGAAGCTGGACTGTATATATTGTGGCAGACCGATCCTTAACCCAAGAATCTGATAATCTAAGATACATGGGCAGTAAAGTTTAGATTAATGGTACACCAGACAACTAGATGATGAGCACATCCCAAGTCATAGCTAGTAATTCAAGGTCTGGAAAACAGGATGTCACAGGTGGGATGATTCTGTAGCAACCCTGATAACACCAAGCCTAATGTTGCAGCCACCCCCTGTCTTAGTCCACAAGTTGTGACCTGCTTGGAGCAGGGTGGCCGGTGCCATAAGCTTGGCATCAGTCTCTAAACAGTTAACTAAGATTACAAATGTAGAAAACATCAAAAATATTTAAATGGTATTCCATTATTCTTTAACAGTGCGATTAATCACGATTAATTTTTTTAAATCGATTGACAGCCCTACCTGCCACCTAAATGGCTCTTGTCACCCCTCAGTTCCTTGTTACTGCCTGTAGCTGCAAGACTGAAATATTGGTAGTGTCTGCTTCTCTTGTGCACTGTGCGGTTAACTTAGCTTAGTTATTTAATGTTATTAATTAGCATTAGAATAGTTAATTAAGTTCTCTTTTTCTCAGTGGCCTATTAAAAATGTATTGTAGTTAGTGAATTTTTAGTAGCCTCCTCCCACCATACAAGAGTTCTAGAATTATGACAGAAAGCCAGTCACCAAGTGTTAAGACCTATGCACCCATTTTTCATGTTACACTGCCATATCCATCAATAATGGTTGCCCTCAGTGTTAGTATGTCTTTGGGAAGAATACATTCTTGACCATCATTCCATGAGTCATTCTTACTGCAAGTGCAGCCAGAGAGCAAGGGAGGCAAAGTTGAAATTTTCCTGCTGGAGAAATCGATGCAGACTCGGGGAGATCTTCAGCGGCATAGGCGCAGACTTCTACAGGCGCCGGTGGGTGCTTGACCCCCCTCTGCCCCTGGCCCCGCCTCCTCCCCTGAGCACGCCACGTTCCCGCTCCTCCCCCCTCCCTCCCAGACCTTGCTACAGCTGTTTGGCAGCGGCAAGCGCTGGGAGGTAGGCAGAGGAGCGGGGAGGAGGCGGAGGAGGAGGTGAGGTGGGGGAGGGAGCTTGGCTGCCAGTGGGTGCAGAGCACCCACTAATTTTTCCCTGTGGGTGCTCCAGCCCGGAGCACCCAAGGAGTTGGCGCCTATGTTCAGCGGTGTCTCAAAATGTGAGTTAGTCCATCTCTGTCAGCATCCTGAAAACTGCTTTCCTGGGGGTCGTTACATGAGCCAGAGGGTAGGAAGGATTCAGATCTTTATACTGTTTTTCTCAAGGACAGGGTTAATGTTATATCTCACCCTAAAGGTATGTCTACGCTTACAGTGGTGTGTAGCATACAGACATTGCACACCCAGGTAGCATGAATATAGATAGCAGAACAGCTGGGGAGAACGGCATAGGTGAGTAGAAGAGTGCCCTACATGCCCGAATCCCCAAGATATGTATTCTACAAGGGCTCTCTGTCTGCCCAAGCAGTGCCTTCTGTGTTGACACTGCTCTTCCCCATTGCAGTGAGAGGCTCTGGCAGCAGGGAAAGCCATTGCCGGGCCTTTCACTGCAGTATGTAGCTGCACACAGCAGTGAAAAGTAAGTGTGGACACAGCCTGCTTTTCACTGTGACATGTAGCTACATGTAGAGTGCCTGTACTCTACACGCAGCCGTAAGTGTAGCCATAGCCTAAGTTCCTGCCTGAGGAGGTATCAGAAAACCATATAAATTGGTCCATTCACCTCCCAGTTTTTTAAGCCTCACATTACTGGAAGTGAAACAAAGCTTCACACACTGGATGTAGTGAGAGCATTGTCATTTTATTCAGATAGAAACAAATATTCAGGAACACATCTAAGCTGTTTGTCTCTTGCTGACAGGGTCCAGGTGCATCCTGTATCCACTCTGAGTTTATCCAAGTGGGTCTCTGACTGCATAAGAACTTGTTATGAGTTAGACAAGAAACATCCTCCTAGACACATAAGTTAATTCCACTAGAGCTCAAGCCGCCTCTGCTGTCTGTGTGGGGAACATTCTCATCCCTAAGGTATATAGAATAGCTACATGGAGTGTGATCCACATATTTACCACTCACTGTTCCATAGTGCAGGCTTCCAAATCAGATGACAATTTTGGTAGGGCTGTCCGTCAATCATCAGTCAAGTAGGACTCCGTTTATCCATCTCCAAGTAAATAGATAACTGCTTCTTAGCCACCAAGAATGAAACCATGTGGACAATCACTTGAAGAAAGAATGGTTACATATACAATGGTAACTGTGGTTCTTTGAGATGCATTGTCCACAGATTCCTTGACCCACCCTCCTCATTACTACTACAGAGTTCTGTAACACCTGGATTTTATAGGGGTGAAGGAACTGAGGGCTGATTGGGCCCACTCCACCCTTTTTGTCTGGAGGAAGGGAAAGGGAGGATACCTAGGGCAAAGCCACAACCCCAGAGAGTTACTGGGTTATACAGGATATTGTGAACTGCATATTACAAATATGCAAGTTCAGGTAGAAATGTCTAGAGTATTTTTATAAGGAAAAGTCCCATTGATGAAGAAATAAACTGGTGGTTATGCTTAGCTGAATAGTATTTTACTTAGTTACAATTTCAAAATCTTTTCTTATGAACAGACTTCTGGAATATTTTGACTTTTTGTTGTTGTTGGGACCTGTTAATTGTGAGTGCTCAGCATGTCTGAAAATCAGGCCATTGACATTAGAAAATTTATTTAAACATGGGTGATGTTATTAAAAAAAGCTTTTGTTTGGCCTGCTGCAGTAAGGTAGTCAAGGTGTTACCCCTTTGTGGTGAGTATATTCTGTGTCAGAAGAACAATTTCTGAAATTGCTGAATCCAGCTAAAAAGCTGTAGCTTTTGGAAGCCTCTTTTTCAGTGCAGCAATGCCTTGTTCTTTCTAAAACACTTCCTATTTCAGAAGAAGAATAGAATATTTACTATTTATAGAGCATTCTAATCCAACGGCCTCTGAGAACCTCTTAATAATACAACTAAAAGTAAATTTAGTTGTTTATTTGTACTGTGGTAGTGTCTTGGGCCCTGATGAGGGCCCCATTATATTAGTCACTGTACAAACACATAAGAAACCCTGCCCTGAGAAGCTCACTGTCCTAAGTAATTTAGAGTTTGCCTGTGCTGGACTTATAGCTGCAATAGGGTCCTATGAGCATTTTTCTCTCTTAGAAACCCTTCTTTTATATTATTAACTCACTTACTGTCCCCTATAAAATCTTTTAAAGGTGACTTGCAAATCATTCTATAAAATTCTTAACCGTAACGATATTGGCCAGATGCCCTGAAAACCAAGTGAAGAGGGTCATATTCAGTACAATTTTAAATAGTTTCTTTCCCCAGCAGAGGGCAAACTGTGTCCATGCTCAAATAAATACAAGAGCTGTGTTAGACTTCATGTGAAATATGTTTGCAGTGTTGTAGCTGTGTTGATCCCAGGATATTAGAGAGACAACGTGAGTGAGGTAATATCTTTTATTGGACCAACTTTTTTTGGTAAAAGAGACAAGTTTTCTAGTGACAGGGCTCTTCTTCCGGTCTGGGAAAGATACTCAGGGCTTGTCTTCACATAGAGCAGTGGTCCCCAACCTTTTTCGTCTGGCACGCCAGACGATGAACCACGGAGGACCGTGGTGGTGGACGAGCATCTGCCAAAATGCCGCCAACAAGCAGCAACGTCAATAGGCGTCAACGCCGAAATGCCGCCGAGAAGCAGCGTCATCCAGAGGTGTCACCGCCTAAATGCTGGCAAAAATTGGCGGCATTTCGGCGGCGACGCCTCTGTATAACGCTGCTTCTTGGCGGCATTTCAGCGGATGCTCGTCCGCCGGCCAGTATGCGGGCGCACTTAGAAGCCCCGGCGGGTGCCATGGTGCCCGCGGGCACCGCGTTGGGGACCCCTGACATAGAGTGCTACAGTGGCCTGAGAAGGAGACCTGGGACCTACAAGGAACAGACTGCAAAGTGCCTTGATGTCCAGAGACACTGGCAGTGTAGACCTGGCCTCAGAGTGTCACAGCTAAATACAAGGTGGAACAGATTGTATGGCATAAGTAGTTAACACATATTCTAAGGGCAGGTCTTCACTACCCGCTGGATCTGCGGGTAGCGATTGATCTATCGGGGGTCGATTTATCGCATCTAGTGTAGACGTGATAAAATCGATCCCCGATCGCACTCCCCATCAAGTACGGGTTCCAGTGGGGGTGGTAGGTGACAACTAGGGATGTGCAGTTGGAGGGTATTGAAGGAGATTATCTTGAGATATTTGGGTAGCCCATTCTACTTCTCTAATGAAGTGTCCTTGTTTAGTGAAAGTGTTTGTTAGTGTGTTAAGGTGTGTATCCTAGATTTTCTCTTCAGAGCATATTACATGGCATCTGTGTGCCTTGCTGCTGCTAACAGATTCCTTGGTGTGTTTGGGTTGGTCACTGAATCTGTGAATGTAAGTATGGTGATCCATAGATTTTCTTGTATAT